GTTCAGTTCTAGTTCAGTTCTAGTTCAGTTCTAGTTCAGTTCTAGTTCAGTTCTAGTTCAGTTCTAGTTCAGTTCTAGTTCAGTTCTAGTTCAGTTCTAGTTCAGTTCTAGTTCAGTTCTAGTTCAGTTCTAGTTCAGTTCTAGTTCAGTTCTAGTTCAGTTCTAGTTCAGTTCTAGTTCAGTTCTAGTTCAGTTCTAGATGAGTTCTAGATCAGTTCTAGTTCAGTTCTAGTTCAGTTCTAGTTCAGTTCTAGTTCAGTTCTAGTTCAGTTCTAGTTCAGTTCTAGTTCAGTTCTTACACAAAAGCTTATTTTACACACAAAATTTTTGATTTTACACAAATTCTTATATTTCTACAAAAACTCTATATTTCGCTATTTTTCACTAAATTTTCCTAAATTCCTAAAAACAGTTTGCCTACAATTTTTTTTTCTAACCAAACATGTTAAATTTTTATCCATTTCTATTTTCATTTTCATTGTTTATTTTTAACAATTCTTTCATTTTAAGACTATTTGCATAATTTATATAGAATTTCAAGAAAAAAATAAAAATATATGTAAATATATATTTATATAACAACGTATGTAAGTAAATAAAGAGTAGAGTGTTGCAGACTCCCTGTTGGTTTATGTTTAAAACACTCTAACATCATTTAACCCCCACTCCCAACAACATGAACTACAGAAAATTAAACAAAAAAACGGAACAAAAATAAATAAATACAAATTCAGTCCAGTACATTCTTGACGTTACTTACGCCTGTCACACCAATAAGGTGGTCATACATCTTTAAAAAAAAAGAAACAAAAAACAAATACTCTTTCTCTAAACTAAATGTTTTACTTATAAACAAGGATGTGTTCGCGTTATTATGGAAAAGCGCGTTATACACATACATTGTACTTTTGCCTTAACATAATCTTCTACCCCAGCCTCTCAGTATGACAATGTTTAACGTCCGTTTGTCTGTCTGTCTTGCCAGTTTCCCTGCATCCGAATCTGTTAAATTTTATAGTGAACATGCCACCCATTTAATAATCATCCCTAAACAAATCCTCAATCCACATGCAAATGAAGTTTTTTTTTTCTTTTAAGGATTTTTTTCACCAACCATTTTTTTGGGTTATATTGTAAATATATCCTAAATAACAATATTTTATACTTTAGTCCTGCTGTATGTAATGTTGTTGTTACTTAATATGTAAAGTTTATATGTGTGTATGTATATGTGAATGCGTGTGCTGTCCTGGTCGCTCGGGGAGTCATTTGTAGTTAAACGAAGGTGAAGGTTTTTCAATTGAAAATATATTTTTTCGTTCCTTTTGGTGATGTTTTTCATTTCTGTTTTCGTTATAAAATTCTTTTGTTTTTTAATATGAATTCGAATCAAATTTACACCAACTAAAAGAATCTTTGGATCTTAGACCTGTTAGGAAAATTACATAGCTTTTGACTATTTTATAGTTAAATTTAAATTGATAATTTTGACAATTTGACTAGTCTACAGTCAAGTCCATAATCTAGTCTGGACAACTCTCTAGTCTATAATCTATTTTATAGTGTAGTCTATAGTATTTTTAATAGTCTAATCTATAGTCTATATGTTCGTCTATAGTCTAGTATATAGTCTAGTATATAGTCTAGTATATAGTCTAGTATATAGTCTAGTATATAGTCTAGTCTATAGTCTAGTCTATAGTCTAGTCTATAGTCTAGTCTATAGTCTAGTCCATAGTCTAGTCTATAGTCTAGTCTATAGTCTAGTCTATAGTCTAGTCTATAGTCTAGTCTATAGTCTAGTCTATAGTCTAGTCTATAGTCTAGTCTATAGTCTAGTCTATAGTCTAGTCTATAGTCTAGTCTATAGTCTAGTCTATAGTCTAGTCTATAGTCTAGTCTATAGTCTAGTCTATAGTCTAGTCTATAGTCTAGTCTATAGTCTAGTCTATAGTCTAGTCTATAGTCTAGTCTATAGTCTAGTCTATAGTCTAGTCTATAGTCTAGTCTATAGTCTAGTCTATAGTCTAGTCTATAGTCAAGTCTATAGTCTAGTCTATAGTCTAGTCTATAGTCTAGTCTATAGTCTAGTCTATAGTCTAGTCTATAGTCTAGTCTATAGTCTAGTCTATAGTCTAGTCTATAGTCTAGTCTATAGTCTAGTCTATAGTCTAGTCTATAGTCTAGTCTATAGTCTAGTCTATAGTCTAGTCTATAGTCTAGTCTATAGTCTAGTATAGTCTAGTCTATAGTCTAGTCTATAGTCTAGTCTATAGTCTAGTCTATAGTCTAGTCTATAGTCTAGTCTATAGTCTAGTCTATAGTCTAGTCTATAGTCTAGTCTATAGTCTAGTCTATAGTCTAGTCTATAGTCTAGTCTATAGTCTAGTCTATAGTCTAGTCATAGTCTAGTCTATAGTCTAGTCTATAGTCTAGTCTATAGTCTAGTCTATAGTCTAGTCTATAGTCTAGTCTATAGTCTAGTCTATAGTCTAGTCTATAGTCTAGTCTATAGTCTAGTCTATAGTCTAGTCTATAGTCTAGTCTATAGTCTAGTCTATAGTCTAGTCTATAGTCTAGTCTATAGTCTAGTCTATAGTCTAGTCTATAGTCTAGTCTATAGTCTAGTCTATAGTCTAGTCTATAGTCTAGTCTATAGTCTAGTCTATAGTCTAGTCTATAGTCTAGTCTATAGTCTAGTCTATAGTCTATAGTCTAGTCTATAGTCTAGTCTATAGTCTAGTCTATAGTCTAGTCTATAGTCTAGTCTATAGTCTAGTCTATAGTCTAGTCTATAGTCTAGTCTATAGTCTAGTCTATAGTCTAGTCTATAGTCTAGTCTATAGTCTAGTCTATAGTCTAGTCTATAGTCTAGTCTATAGTCTAGTCTATAGTCTAGTCTATAGTCTAGTCTATAGTCTAGTCTATAGTCTAGTCTATAGTCTAGTCTATAGTCTAGTCTATAGTCTAGTCTAGTAGTCTATAGTCTAGTCTATAGTCTAGTCTATAGTCTAGTCTATAGTCTAGTCTAGTCTAGTCTAGTCTAGTCTATAGTCTAGTCTATAGTCTAGTCTATAGTCTAGTCTATAGTCTAGTCTATAGTCTAGTCTATAGTCTAGTCTATAGTCTAGTCTATAGTCTAGTCTATAGTCTAGTCTATAGTCTAGTCTATAGTCTAGTCTATAGTCTAGTCTATAGTCTAGTCTATAGTCTAGTCTATAGTCTAGTCTATAGTCTAGTCTATAGTCTAGTCTATAGTCTAGTCTATAGTAGTCTATGTCTAGTCTAGTCTAGTCTATAGTCTAGTCTATAGTCTAGTCTATAGTCTAGTCTATAGTCTAGTCTATAGTCTAGTCTATAGTCTAGTCTATAGTCTAGTCTATAGTCTAGTCTATAGTCTAGTCTATAGTCTAGTCTATAGTCTAGTCTAGTCTAGTCTAGTCTATAGACTAGACAATAGGCTAGACTAGACTATAGGCTAGAATAGACTATAGACTGACTGAAGACCAGACTTTAGACTAGTCTATAGTCTAGTCTACAGTCTAGTCTATAGTCTAGTCTATAGTCTAGTCTATAGTCTAGTCTAAAGTTTGGTCTACAGTCTAGTCTATAGTCTAGTCTAGCCTATAGTCTAGTCTAGCCTATAGTCTAGTCTATAGTCTGGTATATAGTCTAGTCTATAGTCTAGTCTATAGTCTAGTCTATAGTCTAGTCTATAGTCTAGTCTATAGTCTAGTCTATAGTCTAGTCTATAGTTTAGTCTATGGTCTAGTCTATGGTCTAGTGTATAGTCTAGTCTGGTCTACAGTCTAATCTATAGTCTAGTCTATAATCTAGTCTATAGTTTAGTCTATAGTCTAGTCTATAGTCTAGTCTATAGCTTAGTCTATAGTCTAGTCTATACTCTAGTCTATAGTCTAGTCTATAGCCTAGTCTATAGTCTGGTCTACAGTCTAGTCTATAGTCTAGTCTATAGTCTAGTCTATAGTCTAGTCTAGAGTATATTCTAAAGCCTGGAATATATTGTGGTCCATAGGCTAGATTATAGTGTAGACCATAGCCAAGAACATAATCTAGTTTATAGCCCAAAACATTGTGTAGTCTATAGTTTGGATTATAGTCGAGTCCATTGCAAGCTCTACGGCAGTGTTTCTTTCATTCCTCTTGGGGTTTTCTCTTATTCTCTTTTCTCTTTATCTCTTCTGTACAAAATTTTCTTTATTGTCAATTGACGCTAGGACTTGTGATGTATCCCGTGATAAAGCAACTCTAAATCTATACATTTTTTTATATATATTTTACGTATTTTTCCTTTTATATTCCGTCTTCATACTTATTAATCTCATGCTCTCAAGTCCATAGCTGCAAAAAAAAAACAGAAATTCATTATAGTCAGTCACACTTCTTAAACACAAAACACAGCCAGGACATGACTGTAGAGCAAGCTGAGATGAGAGTTCGAGCGTGAAGAGTTCGTCCTTTTTATTTCAAACGTTAATTTTTATTGCATGTAAATAACGCATCAAAATGTTAAGATTTTTCTTTAGAAAAAATTTTTTTCTTCCATTTATTCACTATTGCAGATAGAATTTGAAATAAAGGAAAATATTTATGTATATGAATGAATTTGGGGGTGGGGGAGAGGACAGGCATTGTGTAATAGAATGTGAACACTTTTTTTATGGATTTTCCATAAATGAATACAAATTTATAGAGTCAGTCTAAGTGGTTGTTTGTGTAAAAAAAAAACTTTCAAAAAACAAGAAAATTTTTTAATAGGATTGGTGTGGTGTGGGGGGTTTTAGAGGCTAGCAGAGCATTGGAGTAGAACTATTAGATAATTTTTAGAGAGTGTTGAGCATAATTAATGTGGTGATTTAGTAAATTATGTGTTTACTCATTAAAATCTATTAAAAAATCTGTTTCAAGTGGTGAATATCATTGAAAAAAGTATGGAATTGTTGTTATGAGTTTTTAAAAGCTTTCTCTTTTATTTCCAGACATTTTGGAGGTGTGGTGAATTTCTTTCAAAAGTGGTGAGTTTCTAAAAATCTCTTAAATTACATAATTTTTTAAGTTTTTTAATGCAATTCGTATACCACATTGAAAATTATTTATAAACTGACAAATTTTTCATACTATTAATGGAATTTAAGGTGTGGTGAATTTCCATTTCCTGCAATTTATTCATTTTTTCAAAGCTTTTTAACATAAATACACAGAAAATGTTCTTTTCCTTCATCAACTGCTTTAACTTTTCTAATACTTTTATAACTTAACAAAATGATTACTATCATCTCGTCTAGAAAACATTAAAAAAACTTTCTATTCCTATTGCTGCAACATACTTTAGCCTCAATGTGTGAATAGTTGGTTCAATAACCACTTCCTTATTAGTTCGAAACATAAGAAAAATAATATAAAATACAAAAGTTTTGCTTGCAAATCACCAACATTATCTTATATAACTACTTATAGAATTACTTGACAGCACTTACTTGATAATAATATTAAAGATTTTAATCGAGTTTTCTTTAAACTTTTTTCAATAAACTTAAGAATATGATTAAGACTTTAAGTTAAACAATTCAGTAACTAGAGCGTAACCATAATAAATGATAATTTACTTTTTTAAATATATTTCCACAAAATAAAAAAATACTTGTATTTCTAGTCCTTTTAGTCATTATTTTATAATTTTTTTTCATCTAAACCCTTTTTTCTTACCCAAATATCTAACCTTATCTGTTTACTTATTTATTTTATCTGTTGCAAAACCAGCTCTATTCTAAATATTTACTTAAGTTATTCGTCAAGCTTCTTTTTTTTATTAATTTTTTTTTTGTTTAAATCTCCAAAAAAAAGCTTGTAACACAAAATCATGTTTAAACACCTCATCAGGGCTTATCTCACGTTTTAGATTTAAAACCCAAAAGAAAATGTTCTAAAAGGAATTATTTTTGTTTTCCTTCAACATCAAACCTACAATTTTGTGCAACGGTTATGTATTTTTTTTCCTTTTCAACCAAAAACTATTTTATTTTAACTATTTTTTACATCTTTCTTTAGTGTTTTTTTGGCAGCAATTTAACAAACATGTATGTAGCATACCGTTTCCTTTAGGAAAATATTATAAAACGCGTGTTTATAACTATAATATTGTTAAGTTAAAAGTGCTTATTTGAGATCACAATGATGATGTTGATGATTTTGCCATAAAAGCCATTCATATAGAAATTGTTATATGGCACGTAACCGAAACTAACAAGGGTTTACACTAGAGGAAAAACAGTAGGAAAAATGTAGTCTCGTCTATAGTATCCACTGTAGTCTAGTCCATACTATGGATTATATTCTAGTCTGTAGTCTAATTTATAGTCTAGTCTGTAGTCTAGTCTACAGTCTAGTCTATAGTCTAGTCTATAGTCTAGTCTACAGTCTAGTCTGTAGTATAGTCTACAGTCTAGTCTATAGTCTAGTCTACAGTCTAGTCTATAGTCTAGTCTATAGTCTAGTCTATAGTCTAGTCTATAGTCTAGTCTATAGTCTAGTCTATAGTCTAGTCTATAGTCTAGTCTATAGTCTAGTCTATAGTCTAGTCTGTAGTCTAGTCTGTAGTCTAGTCTAGTCTAGTCTATAGTCTAGTCTGTAGTCTAGTCTGTAGTCTAGTCTAGTCTAGTCTATAGTCTAGTCTAGTCTATAGTCTAGTCTATAGTCTAGTCTATAGTCTAGTCTATAGTTTAGTCTATAGTCTAGTCTATAGTCTAGTCTATAGTCTAGTCTATAGTCTAGTCTATAGTGTAGTCTAAAGTCTAGTCTATAGTCTAGTCTATAGTCTAGTCTATAGTCTAGTCTATAGTCTAGTCTATAGTCTAGTCTATAGTCTAGTCTATAGTCTAGTCTATAGTCTAGTCTATAGTCTAGTCTATAGTCTAGTCTATTGACTAGTCTACTGACTAGTCTATATCTAGTCTATTGACTAGTCTATAGTTTAGTCTATAGTCTAGTCTATTGACTAGTCTACTGACTAGTCTATAGTCTAGTCTATTGACTAGTCTATAGTTTAGTCTATAGTCTAGTCTATAGACTAGTCTATAGTATAGTGTATAGTCTAGTCTATAGTCTAGTGTATAGTCTAGTCTATAGTCTAGTCTATAGTCTAGTCTATAGGCTAGTCTATAGGCTAGTCTATAGTCTTGTCTATTAGTCTAGTCTATAGTCTAGTCTATAGTCTAGTCTATAGTCTAGTCTATAGTCTAGTCTATAGTCTAGTCTATAGTCTAGTCTATAGTCTAGTCTATAGTCTAGTCTATAGTCTAGTCTATAGTCTAGTCTATAGTCTAGTCTATAGTCTAGTCTATAGTCTAGTCTATAGTCTAGTCTATAGTCTAGTCTATAGTCTAGTCTATAGTCTAGTCTATAGTCTAGTCTATAGTCTATAGTCTAGTCATAGTCTAGTCTATAGTCTAGTCTATAGTCTAGTCTATAGTCTAGTCTATAGTCTAGTCTATAGTCTAGTCTATAGTCTAGTCTATAGTCTAGTCTATAGTCTAGTCTATAGTCTAGTCTATAGTCTAGTCTATAGTCTAGTCTATAGTCTTATAGTCTAGTCTATAGTCTAGTCTATAGTCTAGTCTAGCTTCTATAGTCTAGTCTAGTCTAGTCTAGTCTATAGTCTAGTCTATAGTCTAGTCTATAGTCTAGTCTATAGTCTAGTCTATAGTCTAGTCTATAGTCTAGTCTATTAGTCTATAGTCTAGTCTATAGTCTAGTCTATAGTCTAGTCTATAGTCTAGTCTATAGTCTAGTCTATAGTCTAGTCTATAGTCTAGTCTATAGTCTAGTCTATAGTCTAGTCTATAGTCTAGTCTATAGTCTAGTCTATAGTCTAGTCTATAGTCTAGTCTATAGTCTAGTCTATAGTCTAGTCTATAGTCCGTTGTGTAGTACAGTGTATAGTCTGGTCTATACCTAGTCTATAGTCAAGTGTATAGTCTCGTATATATGCTATTCTATAGTTTGGCTTATAGTCAATGCTAGTGTAAACCTTTAGCTTTCTTAAACAGCAAGTGTTATTTTTGTTCACTCATTCACATAAAGTGGGTGTTATGTTGCATTTTTCTAGTTTTTTCTTACAACAAAATTTCATCTTGTTGCTATTTTATACATTATCCATCTATACTTGCTCTCTATATGTCTATTATTATTTTATAACAATTTGCTAGCTCACAATATATATTCTAGCCATATACTCATTTTTCTTAAGTAGGCTCTAACATATTTAATTCTAGAGGTGCTGCTTGCACATACTACATTCACTCACTCAGTTGTTACCACTAAATCCAGCTTGGACTTTAATTTACTTCAACGGCGGCATTAACATCTTATATTATTGATCTCACAAACATTTTTAGTAGCTGCTTAAGTTGTTGCAAGTAAAAACTAAACCATTCTTCTGTTTCGTTTAGTTCATAATATTTTAAAGATGATAATAATGGTATTTTGGTATTTGAAATTTTAAGAAACTATAGAGTGTGAGTAGTGTATATAAATAGTGTTCAACCTAAGGGGTCATACGTTTTAAGGTGCTGTTTACTATAGTGTGTAAGAAAACACTTTGCAGTTATGATTAATCGAATGATGGTTAAAGGGATGCCATGATAATGGATTTTACAAAATTAGGTGGATGTGACAAAGGCCAGACTATAATCTAGTCCAGAGTTTAGTACTAACTATAGTCCACAAGATTGTACAGACTATAGTCAAGACTATAGTTCGGACTATAATTCAGATTGTAGTCCAGACTATAGTTCAAACTATAGTTCAGACTATTGCACAGACTATAGTTTTAACTATAGTTCAGAATATTGTGCAGTCTATAGTTTTGATTATAGTCGAGACTATAATTCAGATTATTGTCCAGACTATAGTTCAGATTATAGTCCAGACTATAGTTTAAACTATAGTTTAGACTATAGTGCAGTCTATAGTTTTGATTATAGTCGAGACTATAATTCCAGACTGTAATTCAGATTATAGCCCAGACTATAGTTCAGATTATAGTCCAGGCTATAGTCTAGACTGTAGTTCAGACTATAGTCAAGACTGTAGTTCAGACTATAGTCCAGACAATAGTTCAGACTATAGTCCAGACTATAGTTCAGACTATAATCCAGACTATAGTCCAGACTATAGTTCAGACTATAGTCCAGACTATAGTTCAGACTATAGTCCAGTCTATAGTTCAGACTATAGTTTAGACTATAGTTCAGACTATTGTTCAGTCTAGTGCACAGTATGGTATCGACTATAGTCCATAATATAAATCAGATTATAGTCCAGACTATGGCTAGTTCAATAGTCCACTTTATAGTACAGATTATAGTGGAGTATATAGTCCTGACAAAAGCCCAAACCCTACCCAAGACTACCTTTATTTCCCATAAACTTGGCAACTCTTTTCCTCTAAAACATTAACCAATATAAACACAATACAATAAAATGATTTTGATATCAATATTTTAACCACGCATAGACTTATATATTTTTCTATATATTCTTCACTAAAAGAACCAACTACAAAATATTCTCTACCTTAAAGGATTCTGTCAAATTCATTGTTTTCCGGTGTCTAAATTGTAGTGTTTCATTTTAAACGCTAAGCAGCCACTCTTAAGCAGATACGAAGTGAATAGAAAAAAAATTAAAAGAGATCTCAAATATAGTAATAACCATGTGAACGTTTTGATAATTCCCCTCTATTATATTAAAGGTATTTTCAGGGTATGAATACTTTAGTTACTGTACATGAATTTACTTACAAAAAAAAAAAAAATGAAAGAAATTGCTGCAGCAACATTTAGCAAATACCACACGTATGAGTATACGTTTGAAAACAACATCTGTTGCTGTTGCCTTTCTGTTGCAAATAAATGTTTTCGCGTGTTGCATGTGAAGTTTCCTTTAAAGTTGAAAATTTCAACAAAAAAAGGGAGTTAGGTGAGATTTTGATAGTTTTCATGCATATGCTGTGAGT